CTTCTACTTTCGTAGGCATAGTTCAGGATCTGAAGGTTTTGTTACTTACGATTCTCAGTTAGAATGGACTATAAGAAAATTTAAAAATAAAAAGAACTTCACAATTTAAAAGAAATGACGAATAAATTAGATAATTAAACTGTTGAGAATGAACATCATCTCGTATCAAGACCTTTAAGGGATTACGTAAACCCTATATCAACATTATTTATGCACTCGAAAGAGGGTAAATAATATGTATACTCCTATTTTTCACAAAACTATATTTAAATTTATAAACATTTGATTCCTACACTTATTATAATCTCATTGCAAGAAGAAGAATTTTTTATACAATTTGAACTCTTCTACATAAAACTAGTTTAGAAACCTTTAACATTTTCTTTAGTTTAGAAATAGAATTTGTAAGTATTAATTACTTATTTATAAAATTTCAATCTTAATTCCAAGATAAGTTACCTTCAGTTTAAGTAGAATTTTACTAATTTAATAAAGAGAGTTTTTTCTTCTCTATGGGATTGATACTAGGGACTACATCAGAGCTTTGTATTACTTGAAATGATACATGCACATGCATAGTATCCCTAGTGTGTAAAATTGAACTATAGAGAAAAAAAAACGAGAATTATATGTTAAATAGCACTCAGTCAAGAATTAAGGGTGCACGCACTTACGGGCAGTGAGAGTCAAGTTTTTGGCATTGTTTTCTGAGATTTGAAATTAAAGTAATTACACACTAAGCACACACAAATTGTAGCGGGGTCAAGTATCTAACGCCGTTTTTGGGTAAACGATGGAACTTTTTTGACTTAAAAATTATAGTTGAACTGTAGACTTATTTTAGGAAAATTTTAGTGTTGCTTACCTGTATTAGTGCTTATTTGTGTGTTAAAAATATTTTTAAGTATTTTTGAATGTTTAGTTCATTTTATTTTCTAGACTTTTACTTTCGTATGCATAGTTCAGGATCTGAAGGTTTAGTTACTTATGATTCTCAGTTAGAATGGACTATAAGAAAATTCAAAAATAAAAAGAACTTCACAATTTAAAAGAAACGACGAATAACTTAGATAATCAAACTGTTGAAAATGAACATCATCTTGTATCAAGACCTTTAAGGGATTACGTAAACCCTATAGCAGATGAAATTAACCTCAGTATACAAACTCCTGTTGTAGCAGCTAACTCATTTGAGCTAAATACACCTTTTAAAACCAAAAATGACCTTTAATTTAGCCTTCTAGAAAGCAATAAGAAGATGCAAGCAGGAGAAGGACAACTTCAGATGACAGTTAAGACTGAACAAGCAGCAATGAACGAACTTCAGTTGAACTTCCTTAGACTTAAACAAAAAGAAAAAAAAAAACTTAGGACTTTGAGGTTGTTCATCTAGTATGACATAAATCATCATATTATACTTAGGCTATCGTACAATCATGTTATGCAGTATAAGTCCTAACTCTTTTAGGATTCCAAGATTGTTCGTTTGGTATGACGTAAATCCTCCCATCTTCCTAAGAAGTTTGCATGATTGTATATTGTGCAAGCGTAAGCCCTAATTTTAAATAACTTACAAGACAAAATATTTAAATAACATTATTTCTAAAATGTAAAGCCAAAAAAATAAGATTGTTTGAGAATTCATTGAGGTTCACCTCAAGATCTGTAACGTTGTCTACTTCTCGCTCTTTTAATCTCCAAAAAAACTATTCCTATTTGGTCTATTCCCACTTGAATTTTCCTACAAACAACTGTGAAAATGGAACTTTTAATTATTGAAGACGAAACTTCTTATCATTACAAATAGTTTTTTAAAGTCATTTCAATCATTTAAGATGTAATTAATTATAGGGGCTTGCCCTTACATAGAATTAATATCTCTGGTAATTATCAGTCACAAATTTTACAAACTAAACAGATGTCATAAATTTCTTAGTTTAAATAATCAAGCTTACTAACAAGTTTTGTGCTTATCTTTTAGGGTGATGCATTACTGTATTTAATGAAAGAGATCTATCATGTCTCATTTTTCAAAATTAAAATGTTATTTTCAAAACTAAAACTATACATATATTAAGTTAAATTATTTTCAAAAAACAACCAATAAATTCCCGAAAACCAACTAATAAATTCTCGAAAACCAACCAATAAACATTCTTTGTCATTTGAATACTGAGCTAAAATTTTGGCACTCCAACCACGTGCCTAGGGTTTTGATGGTTCAAAGGACAACAAAGAATCACCAACCCTTAAACGTGATGGATTGAAAGTTTCCGGCTTTTTTGAGTGCTTAATCACGATACTTATTCCCTGTAAGAGAGTGATTGGAGGGTTTGAGAGATACTTTGAAAGAGTTTTAGGAAGAGATTAGTGAGTGGATTTCAATATTTTAAGAGTGTAAAAGTATTGTCATGTGGAGATACACTGTAAATGAGAATCCTTGCAGAGCGAAGCATTACTTTATTAAGTTTGATTGTTTTTATTTTATAAAAACTTGATTTTACTTAATTTCGATAGAATTTCTACTTTTTTTATCTCTCATGCTAAGGAAATAAGTTCATCTCTCTCTTGGATTGATAATTTAAGTAACTTAAAGTAATCCATGTCATGTGATTGTTAAAATCTTACAAAATATGTTAATATCTTAACTTGAAATGCTTAATTTACTTTCAAATTGGCCACTTCGAATGTTAAAACCTATTGTGATATAGGACGACGGAAGAAGGCTAGTGGAACAATGAAATTAACATACAACTTTTTTGGAGAATAAGAATTTTGCTGTTGTGATTGTACTATCAACAAGTAAACATAGAATCCTTAGGGTTTTTGTATAATTTAAAAGACTAAATTTTATTATGAAACCCTAAGCTTTCATGTGATGGTAGAGGGAAAAGAGTATGTCTGGTCCTGGTTGTCAATGATATTTGAATCACTTGGATAACTCTAGGTTTATTTTGTACAATTCAAGGGAGACTCTCTCACTTTACTATCAATCCTTATTATTTTACATTTACAAAATTAGGATTATAAACTTTTAAAAATTCACAAACCCTCGACGCTTCAAACTAACAGAGGATTAATAAATTATAACTTTTCACTTTTGGTTTTGGAAATTAACAAGTTCACTGTGAGATTGATATACATAGATTCAAAAATTTTTACACTACTTGATTGACATATATTCTTCGTGATTTATGCAGGCTTCACAAAAACACTCTGCACTGTAAGAAAAATTTTATGGTTGGCTTGAAGATTTGGATGGAGGATGAGTAAACTTAAATATTTGTTAAACTTTCAATGGAGGTGTGAGATTAGTTAAGAGGAGTTTTAAAATGGTTATAAAGTAGTTAGAAGATAAAAACCAATCTTATTCAAAATGGCCGAATTAGGTCGCCAAGCACTTACATAGAAAGATAGCAAATTTTTGCAGTAAATTTATTATTAGAAAAACTACATGCCAACCTTATTTATAAGAATTATAATCAAATATCAAGCTATTATCATTCAAGGAAAGAGAGAGAGAGAGAGAGAGAGAGAGAGAGAGAGAGAGAGAGAGAGAGAAAGTGTGTGGAAGGAATAAGACAAATAACCATTAATGAATGAGGGTTCAAAAAGAATGATTTATTTTTTGCTCTCATAGTTGATCAAGTGACTAGTCTATTAAAGTTCCCAAAATTAAAAAGTAACTCTAAAACCTAAACCAGAAACTTAAAAAATCTTGGGTTTTGATGATTAGGCTTTTGCTTGGCACTTATTACGCTTGAGCTTGGGCTCTCATAACTAGACTCTTAGCTTAAAATGCTTAATCCATTTGATATGCTACATTAATATTTACATTTAGTTTGATGATTTCAATTTGTATGGTTTTGTTTAAATCAACAACATAATATTTACATAGTTTTATGTTCGGCACTTATTACGCTTGGGTTTGGGCTCTCATAACTAGAATCTTAGCTTCAAATGCTTAATCCATTCGATATGCTACATTAATATTACATTTAGTTTGATGATTTAAATTTGTATGGTTTTCTTTAAATCAACAACATAATATTTACATAGTTTTATGATAATAATCATCTCATATTATATTTTATTGACTAAAAAATATTATTAAAGTTCATTTAATAAACTAAATTTTTAAAGTTATGTACCAAAAGTATAAATTACGTTATAACACCTTATTTTGTACAATGACAAACAAATTAGCTTCGCAAGAAATTGTTTAAATAAAAAAAATTTGTTATTATAATTAATTTTTTTTACTTATATTGTAATCAATTAGGTTAATTGAATTTAAATTTAAAATTTTGTTGTTGCTTGTGCCTTTTATAAAGAATTTGATTTTTTGTAATTAGAACTTAGATCTTATGTGAATAAAGTGTAGAGTAATTTTAATGATCAATGAGAGACTGCTTGATTTGCTGAAAAATGAAATGTAATGCAAAAAGAAATAGCTAATGGAAAATAAATGTTATTATTTGGATGATTACACTTGAAATACATGAATTTGTGATGTTGTATTTGGGTGAATATAGTTTAAATGAATATAGTATAAACCACTTGGAGGCTTTTAATGACAACATGGAAGCAATTGTGGTCGATGGTGGTGGGTTAAATACTGGAGGCTTTGGTTGGCATGGGCCGGTGGCAGATAACAATAATGGTGTTGGGCAACTTGTTGGCAAACATTGACCACCTATACAGAGGTCTTGATGGTTATAGTGACTATGGTTTAGACAGTGATTATAATATTTAAAGATTATATAAATTTGATAACTTTTAAATACATTAAAAATAAGTTAAAAATTGCATTTAATATTCATTATCATGTTATATTATATTATTTGTTTAATATTTTTGGAAATTATATATTAAATTTTTTTTTGTGGATTTATTTGTTGGATTTTAAATCAAACATCCAAAATTCAAAATCACTTCATTTAATATTAAAAATTATTTATATAAATATTGCGTTGGCGTGAAGGTGGCATCAAGCAAACTGGCCCGAAGTCTCCGCTTCCACCGTTCGAAAGCAAACTTCGATCTCTTTTGCTTCACTCGGGTAGGTGGTAGAAGGCAGTCGCCCTGATGGATCAGTGGATGAAGAAGATGAAGGATGGCGGCGTTACTTACGCTTATCTCATCTTTTACATTGCCATATCAAGTGGTCAGATTTTCTTCAACAAGGTCTCTTTTCTCTCCACTCCCAGTACTCACTGGTTCGCCAATGGCTTTGGTTTTTATCTCTAATTGCCGTTCCGCTGTTATTGATACGAATCTGCGGAGTTTCGTGAAGGAGATGAGAGGAGGTGAGGCCGTCTATTATGCTCCGTTGGGTTCGGTTAAGTAATAGGAATTGGATCTGCTAGGGCTGTCAAATTGAAGTCTCATTGTACGTGTTTGGGCTTCATAAGAGTAGTAATTTTCTCTTACTATTATTCGTGAGTTTGATATATTTGGTTTCTATCCATTCTGCGAATCTTAAACGAAACTTCTTCAAAATGGTTTAGTATTCTGATAATGTTAGCCTAGATCTTTAAGGTTTTGGTAAGGCTAGATCGCCAAAGCTGAACCTAAATTTTTGTAGTTAATTAGAACATCCGATGAAATGTAGTCCTTCTTGTCATGAAAGCATATGGCTCGATGCCGTTTAATAGCAAATAACTTTAGGGGCTGTTGCTCTGCAAACAGAATTTAGTAATGTATATTTAGAAATGATCTGCATAGATCTCAAGTCAATCTGTGGTCCAAGATCAGGGGACTAGAATAACCTTTGTTATTCTCTTTAAAGCAAAACTGAACATGTAATTTTTATATATTTTTTTGCCCATCATATCTTCTATAAATAGAAGACCCATATGAAGTATGGAGAACCTTTGGGCTTCCCTCACTTGTAATGTTCAGTTTATGGAATAAGATGGGTTAGAGGGGACACCCCATTTCCACCCGACGGGGGAAGTCTTCCTCTCTCTTTCTCTCCATCTTCCTTCATCGGTCTAACGCTCTATTTCTCGGGCACGGTCTACTAGATAGATTTAGATTTAACATACTTTAAGGTACGGTGAGCATGAATCGGGCCATCAACAAGAAGATGAGCAACACCGAGAAAAAAATATTTAGTGAGACACTCCTAGCAAAAAGTATTAGGGGTACTTACATTGTAGCATATTCACTCCTCGCCACCGGCAATCACCACGAGACTCCGTCTTTCCCTGTAGATCTCCCATCAAACCGATTTCAATTGATCGACTACCACTTCACCAACTGCCCTCCAGATTTTATTTTCTGTCTCACCTTGATCTCAACCCGCTGGCCAATTTGTATTGCTAGAAAGTCAGATCCATCTCCCAGCCGACTGTTTATGCCATCCTAGAACTCTGTACAAATTCCCCTCGTCTTCCACACTTTTATCCAACAATGCTTTCCACAGCTTTAGCCTCCCCTTACAGGGATAGCATCCCCCCCACTACTCCCCTTCACATACAAAAACTTTATCGCCTACACTCCCCTAGACGACTCCTTGCAGATTGAGCATCTAATCTACAGACTGGCTTGCCGACCCACTCTTTAGATCCCTCACCGTCTGGTCGAATTTCTTTAAGTGGACCTGTTGCTTGGTCGATCGAAAGCCGCACCACCGGTTGGCTCACCGTCTCCCATTCAGTCGTCTCACCTTGAAGTTCGCAGACCCCGCTGTCACGCGTAGATCTATCCTATGAGTCGAAGTCCCCTAATCAAACCTCTCTATCGCCTAGAAGTCCACCGACCCGTCTCTCGGCCGGATTTGTTGTTATTCAAAATTTTCCCCACACCGGCATTTGCAGCTTGAAAATTTCTCCCACGCTTATACTCCGACCGTCGAGCGGGAAACAACCACCGCCATTGGAGATCGTAAGCAACTGATTGAGGTGAAAAGACACAAAAAATAGTCTTCGACAACAATACATTCCATCACGATCATCTACAAAATCGAGCTTTCCCACACGATCTCTCATTTGAGGACGAGCTTTTCAGTTTCTTAGTTGAGGTTGGATAACAATTGGGGACTACTGAGGTTGGTTCCGTATGTCATTGTTGTCCAGAATTGTCCTATCAATCAACGATCATGGTTAAGGAGCAGATGGTTTTGATATTGTCTAGAAGTAGAAAGTGATTATTTACTAAGTCAACGGAGTTTCATCAGTCTCTCTTATCTTGCTCATTCTCAACTACACCGGTCACACTTCGGTCGTCAACCTACCTCCGAACGGCCATTTCGCTCTTTTTCGAAATTGTTAAGGAAGCTTGATAACTAGAATTACCAAATTTGCGGTTTTTATTTTGCTCAAACCGATTGCTTATATATGTATTTACATCCATACAGCCTGAGCTCGCTCAAGCTCGGCTCGTTTACAGCCCTACCTGCCATTCCTCATCCGAAGATTGACTCACCTGATCAATAAAATGGTCTAAAGTTTGCCGGACATGTGTAGGTTGTTGGAATGGTCTAAAGTTTGCCGGACATGTGTAGGTTGTTGAACATTAGAAACAACTACTTGTTGTACCAGCTGATCTTTTATCGGATCGAAGGAGCACTCTCGTATGTCTTGACATGTAAGTGAGTCTTCTTTAATAACAGTGAGTGGTATCAACACATTTGGATCTGTAACTGTAATATGATGTTCTTCATCAGGAACTGCGGAGTTGGAAAGAGGATCGGGTTGCACCTTCTCTGCAGGGATGGTAGGTGGCTGATTTTTAGCGATATTTGATCTTAGATGATGATGAAAGCGATAGTAAATAGTAGCATTGTGGCCAAACATACTACAATGAGAGCAATAAGGAGGGTGTGGTTCTAATTCAACTTTTTGTCAATACCTGTTGTGAGTAGTGTCAATTCATACCTCATTCGGAGCTGGTTGAGTGATATCTCTCTCAACTAACACACAAGCCACAGAGGGTCTGGTGACAACAAGCGTGAGACTATCAACCTTGAGAGACTTACCGTAAGCAGTTGCTAAAGTGTAGATAATTTTCATGTTGAACAGATGTAATTTTAACCCCGGAAACTTTATCCAAACTGGAATGATAAGAGACTCCTCTTTTGGATCAAAATCGATTGTCTACTTCAGAATTTTCATAAAACAGTTGTCGATCTTGATAACTTTTCGAGAGAAAATGTGAGTGTCATTTAATTCTTATAAACATATATAGTTACATGCACAATACTCTGTTCTTTGGCACTTCCGACAAGGCTCCCCTTTTTGTCGGCCGAGCACATGCCTCCGACCAGTCTCTTACCTTCGGCCAACTGTATGCCTTCAACCAAAAATCTCAAATCACGAAAGATTCACACATAAACACCGCTCCATTCTGCCAACAAACCACCCTCCGATATGCAATCTACTATTCGACCGACTGCTCCAAATGCCTCCGGACCAGACACCTGTCTCCCACAGGCAATCCCAAAAGAGAGAAGATTTACATACCTACCACCAATATATATATATATATATAT